ACACACACACACACACAGACACATACACATACGTACATGCACACACACGCGGGTAAAATACAAACAAACACACACACACACACACACACACACACATTATGTTCTCACACACATGCACTTACACACGAATAAAATAACTATTATTAAATAATAAAATTACAGTCCCTCATTCTTCCTTCACTCACTCACTCACGCCCAGGATGAACCGACTCTCACTGACAGACAGTGCTCACGCTCACTCACACACACGCTACATGTACCACTCACTCACAAAACACATGTATGATATATTATAAGGCTACAGAGGTACAAGGAAACGCACGCCTTATCCTTCCCCATAATATTATAATTCAATTCATGCTCGGCCTAGTTCTCGCTTGCTTCCCTTCTATGTTTATTTAAAGCGTTTTGCAGCATGGAAAATAGAATACATGTACACTGTATTAATATCATGTCGAGAAGGCTTTGGTTCCAAAACGTTCAGCACTTACTCTAAACAGTAAGAAATTTACAGTAGTTTACTTGTGTGTTTACAATTTACAGTTCTTGTGTGGTTTACAACTCAACTTTTTGACGGCAGTGACGAAGACAGCAACGATGATTGGTTTTGTTTGGCCCATTTCCTATATAGATAGATAGATAGATAGAGAGAGAGAGAGAGAGAGAGAGAGAGAGAGAGAGAGAGAGAGAGAGAGAGAGAGAGAGAGAGAGAGAGAGAGTGCTGTCTTTTCTTTAGTTTCACTCCCAGAAACTCCAGATGAAATCTTTCTCGGCGAAACGTCGTGAAGTAAAAAAAAATAGATCTAGATCTACATGTCTATTCACTATAATAATATAATGTACTTTTTTTTTTCATTTCTATTTGTTGAGAACAAATTCCTCAAGACTTTCCCTCCCTATTCAGCTTTATCAACAATTTAATGACGACGACGATAATAATGACGATAATAATGATGATGGTGATGATGATGATGATGATGATGATGATGATGATGATGATGAACAATATGAGGTTCTTGCATAGAATACTCAAGCATATTAACTTACCAACTTCTCGTTCCGAACGTGTCTTTCTTTCTTTCGCTCTTGACAGACCAACTCAACAAAAACACTCCTGCTACACTACTGAACGCACAACTTTAGGCAACTGAACGCACAACGATATATCTAGCTATCGACCCGAGGGAGTGTAACAAAGCAAGCCCTTCTAACTGACCTGGGCTGGGGAACAGGGAAGGATCGGTGGCCCTATTTATAATGTCATGTAAAGTTAAAACTTGAGATAACGGGAGCCTGTCACGCTTACAGTTTGTGGTGATGGGGTTAGGGCGCCTCGGGTTAGGGGGTCAAAGTCAAAGGGGAAAGGGGAAAGGCTTCACGTCTTCAGTTCGAAGTTTGAATAGAAAGGTGTTTAAAAAAAAAAGTTTTAGTAGATCTAAGTGTTTTACAGCACTTGCAACACGATAAGGTCATATAAGTGCCGAAGATTAGAGGTGTTACAAGAGAGTAACAAACATAAAAACGAAGGAGAGAAGATCAGGGCGGTAGATGTTTGATGGGAAAGAAGGAGCAAACCACACCAGAGCACCCGCCAACCACCCACGGGTGTTGGGGTAACTTCAGGGTGGGCAGTGGGCGAGGGTACGGGCGAATGTTCACGTATCTTGGGTTGCGGGAGTGGCGGAGACTTATGTGGTGTGGTGTTTGAGTTACAGTTAACCACACCAGCTCTGTTACCCATACATCCACACGTCACCAAATGCGCTTACTTATTGCGTAGGATTATTTCAGACATTTGAACCCGTACCTCCACCCTTCCCCTCCATCTACCCCCCCCCCCCCCA